CACAAATTAAATATATTTAATTGCTTGAAGCTTTCTTCAAAACTTAATCCACAAACACCTGAATTTTTCACGTTATTCTTCTTTAAAGTTAACGCATCTAAGACAGGATGACAAAACTGCCATGTAGTGTCTGTATGACACAGTACAGGGTTGCTCCGACTGGTACTGAAGGGCCCTCAAGTTAATTCTGTTTGCATTACTACTAACTACTACATGCTGACCAGATGGTTTCAGGATATGGTCAATGATCATCGTAAACTAATCCTTCTTTTCATCTACTGCCATTGCCAACCCTTTCATGTTTTGATTTGACCCATTTTCAATACAATTTAAGTTCTGTGAAAATCAGTTTGGATGGGACACCCTTCCCTGAGCTTTTAGCACTGCACTGTCTTTAAGGGAAGTATTCATTTTGACTGATGCCAAAATTTCAATGGCCTGTCATAAAATAATTCCTGTCTTATAATAGCTTCGTATCTCATAATTTTTGTGGTCTTTGAAGGATGTGGAGCTACCTGGAATTTTCTTAAAGGTCTGTGAGAAAACATTGGACTTTTTTTAAACAAGATATTTCTTAGAAATCACATGGTTCCACATAATTGCTGGTCTTCATGGCTTGAACTCACTTCAGGGAAAATATCTGATTGTTTTTATGACTGGGTTTTATGGCTGTTCTGTTTGAACAGTGTTCCAGGCTTGGGGATGTGATGTACTTGGCGACCAAACTGCTGAAAGCAAATGAGTTTCCCAGCCTTTTAAAAAAAAAAGCCTGCTTGTGAATCCAATGTGAAACCTCTCGGACGGTGTCTGGAATAATCCTCAAAACTGCTTCTTCGTAAAATGCATTTGCCAAGATCTCAGAGACAACTGCCTCTGTTTAATGACACTCATTTACATAAGATAGAACATCAGGCCGACAGTCTTCTGAGCATCTCAAACTTTATCCTTTTGCCTTCAAGAATTATGACTGATTAGCCAAGAGCATTTATTTCCTCAAGCGAATCTCTACAGAAAGAGTTCCAGATTTTTCTCTTCACCTGAAGAGTGTGTTTGTGTATGTGTTTTGAGCTATTTTGAAGGATGAACATTTATGATTTCATATTCCAAAGTTAGTACGCTAACCATTTTTACTTCTTTACGTAACAGGTTTTGTTTTATAATAAATTAATAATTTAGTGTTTATTAAAGAAACCTGTTGATGGGCTGTTTTTAAATCTAATACTGAGAAAGCAAAGACTAGTCATATCAGGAACTGGGTGAAGAGGTTGACTTACATCATGACCCATGGAGTAGAGAAAGAAAGCGTCCTCTTCCCATTTCAGCCATAACACACATCAAACACGTTTCACAGTTACAAAAGAAAAGCACAACAGTTACTGGAAACCTGAAAAGGTCACAAACCCTAAGCATCAACTCTGATTCTTTCTTCACAGATGCTGCCTGGCCTATTGAATACTTGCAGCTTTTTCACATTTTTACATGTGGCCTATTCCTACAGACATTACGCTACGTTTGATCACATTTTAAGATGCAATTTCTCAGCACATCTGCATAGATAGTATATGATCAGAATAAACCATCCAAGTGAATTAGCTACAATTTAATAGTGAGACTTAGTTTCTAAAAAAAATTCAGATGCGCAATATCAGAAATCAAGGATATATTCATTCCAAGGATCTTTCTGTAGATAGAGCACTCATCTTTCATGCGTAAAAATTGACTTTTTTTTTTAGCAATTGCATTTCACTTGTTAAACTTTTCCTTTCATCTCTCAGATTTTACTAATGCAAGCAGCCAAACTGAATTTCCCTCCACACACAATTCGTCATCCAGATTTATCATGCTGAGATAAATGAGTTCCATGCCTTCACTTCAAACACAATATTTGTTTCAGAACCAAGAGATTGTTTAAATAAATTGCAGACACTAGAGATCCAATGTCCTATTTCCTTATATTAGATCACTCCAGCTAACCTATACTCTCATTGACTCAACGTCTTTCTTCCAGTTGGTTTTTCTCTGCTTCAAAAAGATGAATGTCTCATGTCTTGGACAAATATACATTTTTCATGTACTTTTATTCAATTGAGGTGGGGGTAGAATTGTGTAGGTGAGATCCAGAAGTCAACTGTGCAGGTTGGAATCCCACCTCAATTGTACTATTAATGTAGACATGCAGCTTTCATGCTTCCAGGCTGCACATGAGGAGCATTTGGGTCCGTGTGATATGATTTCAGCTCCAATTAGAGAGACAGTCCACAAGTGGAAGTGGAAGTGGAAGTGTTCAGGATGGAGGATGAACATAGAGCAAGGCCAGTATTCAGAGATAATGACACATGCTGGACAGGCTCAGACGGAGAAGGGATATTCTTTTTCCCCAGAAGTTTGGAGGTAGAAACCTGTTGTTTTCACCAAGCAGGATGGTTATACAAATAGCTGTGGAGCTGAGCAGCAGAAGCAATGTGACTGGGGCCTTAGACATAATAGGAAGCAGTTTAATGACTTAACCAGGTCAGGAAAAATGAGAACATTGCCAATTCACCAACCTCCTGTGCTTTAAGCTCCCTATTCCAGTCTGTCTTGCAAATCACGCCACTACTTACTACTAGTGAACATCCAGCAACAACAAATTTTGACTTCCTAAGCATTTCATCACCTCCCCGTATATCCACTCACCCCTGACAATTACCTCAATCTTAACGTAATATGATACATACCTCACTGTTACCCTCAGCAAACGCACTGTGTCCACCAGGTGAATTCCTCACCTTCACTCACTTAGAGGTGTGTTTTTTCACTCTTTGTAAGAGAGGACAGCATTAATGTACTGAAGGAGGATTGGATTAGAGGCAGCCCCACCAAAGGTCGTCTAGCTTGCTGAGTCAGAGGAGAATGTACTGAAGAGAAATGGCACATCTGCAACTCTCTTGATCTGAGATGGTGTGACAAAGAGCTCCCAAATTGCTGATTGATAGAATTACAAATATCTGGGGCACAGATCTACTCATTGTATTTCATCAATGACTGAATAATTAGAAGAGCAACTATGATGCTTGTTGAGATTGACACTTTGCCCTGACCAAATTGTTTGTGGTCTAGGACTTTCACATGGACAGGAAATATTGCACATAATCCGCAATTCCTCAGAGGACTTCATTCCATCTGAGAGTTCACTATCATAGGATGTTCAGCCTTGCAGAAATGCAGATATTTGCACATGAAGAGGGATATTTCAACAATTAGTTGAATTTTCATCTGGTGATTCATAACTCATAAGTGAACACAAACAGATACAGGTGATAGTTTCTATGGTAGAGAGTCCATTTTGGGGGGGCACAATCCTCTTCAATTTACACACCTGGTCACAGATCCTAAACCTTATTGGGGCTGTTGTGCAGAAGGAGAAGAGAAAGCAGCATCAGTATCTTATAAGGGCGCTGACCGACGTGCCACACAAACTCTGCACAACAGGTTGAGAGAATGGAGGTCTCCATATCAATCACTAGCCATTTGGTGACACAACACATTACAAGAATGCCTACCATAGAGACAGTGCCTATTTTCAGAATTATTCAAGCATGGCTCTCAATAGAGTCCATGCAGACCATGACCATGCAGAATTTGTATAGGTTTGCTGCCTGAAACAAGGTGAAGGATATGTTGCCCACTGTTTGCAGCAGAGAGGTAGAACTGGTGATGCTGGGTCTGGAGAAGGATGATGGCGAAGGGGATATGGAATGAGAACTCCAATCAAAGCATTCCCACTTCTGACCAGCTGCTCCTTCAGCAACCTATATCTCATTTCCAATGACTGAATCTGCATTTCAATTGTTAAAGCTTTTCTTTTCACCTTTCAGATTTCACTAATGCAGGAGATGCAGCAGTCTTTAGCAGGTTCCGCAAGGCTTCGTTGTTCAGAGAACATGGGCTAAAAGCAACTCAGTGATTAAGGCATATATCTGAGCTGCCTATCTCTAGCTTGGCAGAATCAACACTGGATATTCCACAGTGAAGGAATATGAGGTGTAAGTCAAAGAAATTGTAAATCACCAAAGGCATGTACATAGGTGTTTGACAAAACGTTGCATTATTACATTTCCTTTTTTTTAAATAATGGCACATAAAAATTATTAATAAGTACCACTTCCACATCATGGCCATTATCATGAACCAAGTGTTAACTCACTCTTTCACTTATCTCATGATGAATTTCAATACATTATGGAACTGATTATGTGGATTTGCAATGGATGGCTCAGTGGTTGAAGGGTAGTCTGGTGGTGGATTCAGATCTCAGGGTTTAATTCCTTACTAAAGCCCTAAACAAGGAAAACCTTTGTTATATTAGGCCATCCCAAATAGCAATGTAAGCAGCTGTTCTCACAATAGGCACTTCATCTTCCTCTTCCTTCACATTGGTGGACTGCAGCGATTCGAGAAGGCAGCTCACCACCAACTTCTCAAGGGATGGGCAATAAATGCTAACCAGCCAGCAATGCCCACATCCCACAAAAATGAATAAAAGAAATATTCTTTGCATCGTTGAAGGTGAGTGATGTATCTTTTAGTCCACCTGCACCAACAATCCTTTCTGCTGTGCAGTGTTGTATAGGATGTAGCACGCCAATATCACTATGGAAACCCTGACTGGTGTCTTATTTTGGAACCTGAAGTGCTTTTTCAACATTCCAGTGACTTGCTCAATGAAATGCCTAGTGGTAACAATTTTCACTGTGATACTTGGGTGTATCATTGATAAGGTTCCTCATAGATGTCATGAGTCAGGTTTAAAGTGGGCATTCCTTGTTTCCTCTGAGTCAACTATTAAGTATGCTCCCTGGATGGGAAATGTTGAACAGTTGCAAATTGATGAATGAAAGTCCCTCGTGGTTTATAAACACTCCTAGTAGCTATGGTGGGGCTTGCATTGTCAAAGATGTGCAGACAATGGTGGCCCGAGGGTATGCACCCAGTCAGACAGTTGAATCTGGAGTGTCCGCTTATTCTGGTTTCTGTAAACACAGGAAATTTACATAATTGTTGATTCTAGCAAATAAGGCATCAGCATCCTGCTGGATGCTTGTATATATAGCCAATTGGGAGATCCTGGAAATTATTCAGGTTGTGCTCTCCAAGAATGCAGAGACAAGAAAGTTGCTCATTTTTGAAAACATTAGTAATAAGTGGCCACCAAGTTCAGCAAGAAGCAGTTCTTCATCTAGGAAGTTACAAATGTCTGCACCACTAGATGTAAAAACCTCAAAATGCAGAAGCGTTGTCTTCTGAGAGGTCAAGGAAGGTAAAGCTCTGTTTGTAAACCCTGTGACATGAATAGTATCACCTGCAACTTTGTCACCTTTCCTATGAACCTCCCCTGTCTGCACGTGATGATCACAACACACATGTCATTGCTGCTGTCAGTAATGTTCTTATTCTGATGCGCTGACAAACACATCCAAAGGAAAGGTCAACTTGAAATCCCTTCGTGTTGAAACACCTGCGCGTGCACAAACATTCCCTAAAAACATTTGCAAGAGCGAACTCAGATAATGCCGTAATAAGTCAACTTTTATTCAGATGGGAGGAAAAATTTAAATACACATCTGAACTGCTGCTGAAGATCACCTTCATTTTACTGGTTAGCTTCATAAACCCATACTAGATAGGTTGGATTTGAAGCCAAGTTAAATATAGTTTAAAAATACATTATTACCATCTCTAAAGGACTTTATTCACACCAGCTAGTACTTTTTTGCATTCTATTATCGAATCTCCAACAGTGACATGTAAGCTTCTTAATGGCACTCAAACCCATCGTTATTAAATCTGGACATAGACATGTTAGAGTGAGGTTGCACTCTAAAAATCAAGACCTTTGGCCCTCACCCATCTGTTTACTGAAAATTCTAATGAATGACTCGAAAAAGATAACAGCCTTCACACTTATATTATCATTATTTATTCCTTAAAACATTAAGTCCACAAAATGGACCATAAGACTAATCATCAGACAAATTTACACAAAGACAGAAGTTGTTTGCTTTCTCTAATATTAAAAGTAAATTGTTAGCATTAAAAAACACAATCTTAAATGCAAAAAAAATTAACAATTAGTTAGACTTAAACATTCTTCTAACTGTCTTATTATTTTTGAATTTAGTTTGACTCCTTACTTAACTAAATTGCTTGTTTAGTACAATTATAGAATCATAGAATCCCTACACTATGGGGAGAGGCCATTCGGCCCATCAAGGCTGCAATGACCCTCCGAAGAGCACTCCACCCAGACCCAGCCCCCCACCTTATCCCCATAGCACCACATTTCCCATGGCTAACATATGTAGCCTGCACACCCCTGGGCACTGAAGAGCAACTTGGCATGGCCAATCCACCTAACCTGCACATCTTTGGAACTTGAGAGGAAACTAGAGCACCCGGCAGAAACCCTCAAAGACACAGGGAGAAAGTGCAAACTCCACACAGCCAGTCGCTCAATCATACCTGAGCACATGAGGCAGCAGTGCTAACCACTGAGCCACCGTGCTGCCCTAAATTCTAACCCTTTGATCCTTTATTCAGCCATTCTCAGTGAGTGACAAACTTGCTGCAATATATCTTTCAGATGCCAGTTCCTAAAATGAGACCCACATATTGCAGGTGGTCATGATGTTTGAAATTATATACCAATGAAACCAGGGGCATAAAAATGTTCAAGTATCATTTGGCACAGTTTTAGGACAGTTAGGGCACTCAACTACCAATCCCAATGGCTTGCCACATTAATGCCCTTAGAATAATTTAGCAATGGAACTTATTACAGGAGTCTACAAAATCAGTAACGTATACTAAGTTATTCTCCCACTGGAAATAAATATACAGAAGATTTTTTTTCTAATGAGGTTCCCTGCTCTCTGATCCATTCCCCAGCCAAGAGTGTGGGAAGATGCTAAGCTGTTGGCACTGCTGCTCCATACCCATCATTCAGAGGTGTACAATAGCAATCCGTATCTTACCAGGTTAGACCTTGACTGAAGGTCAGCTCCAGTCCAAAATCAGGAATTTGTTGTGAAGGAAATATCATCAAGAAGTATTTGTGTAAGGAATTTCATCAGGAATTTGTGCCACAAATTTACACACCTTCACATTGGAACACTTATGCACAACGTATGTTTCAACCAAAATTAAGTGGATGGACAACTATGGTACTTACTTTGTGAGCAATACTTGTTGCTGCCTCAGATGCAGCCAATTTGGCCATTGCAGCTTCCTGTAAATCAAGAAAAATAACAAAGTGAATAAACAGCTTTTGATACTGTGCAGGTAAGATACATTGTGCTTTATTACAACTTCTAATGTTATGTTGAATGGTACTGATCTGAAATGAACTCTCATGCTTTTTCAGAAATTCCGTCCGATTTCACAAGGCAGAATTATGTTAACTACGTTGGGTGCTCAGGAATCTGCCAAAATTCTGTTGGAGGATAGATATACAGCAATGGCAATAAAGATTCAACTGTACATTTGCCAATGATGCTCGTGTGTTTTTGTTCAAATGCTTTTGATCAGCATATTCAGTTTCAGGCCAGGGTCTGCCCCATGGCCTGTACAGATAGGTTGGGGTGGTTAGTCTGCTTGTAGTCCTGCTGCCAGCTCATTGCATTTGCTGATTCTTGTCGTGACACCACCTCACTTATGTCACAGCAGTCAGGGCTGCCGACAGCTGCAATATTAAGTAGGTGCAAGATGGAATTGCAACCAAATCTGTCTGTTTTGCCCGTGATGCAAGATGTAATGCAACAGAAATACTTTCAGAATGTTCTGCGCTACAAACAGATAACAAAAAGAAAAATAGACTTTAAAAAATGTCCAAGTGTCATTAATGCCATACAGACTTCAATATCCCTTGGAGCTGATGCAGGTACTGTACCAGGAAATCAAGATTTCACAAAATTAAAAAAAATTAAATGCTAAACAGAAATATAATATGCTGCTTTCAAGACTGCTATGCCATTGGCACATAATGACCCACAGTCAACTATAATGTTGCCAAACCCTGATTAATAGCTCATATTCTGTACTACTCCAGTCATACTATGACCCATGTATCATTACACAGCTTCAGTTTCTGTTTCTGTTTCTAATTCAACAGTATGCACAAGGCACACTACATTATAGGGAGAGTAATATAATTTTTACGTATATTTATTTTCAGTTCAAATCTCTAAAGACTATTATCTGTCTTCCTTTTTTAGATGCTGACTAACCTGTGTAATTCATACATGCTAACCATCAGCGTTTCACAATGGGAATCAGCATATGTTGGGGCAGCATTTATTACCAATCCTGAGGTGCCCTTGAGAAGGTGGCGGTGGGCGGCCAACTTGAACTCCTGCAGTCCATATGCTGTGGGTTGACCCACAATACCATTAAGGGAGGAAATTCCAGGATTTTGACTCAGTGACGATGAAAGAACGGCGATATATTTCCAAATCAGGATGGTGAATGGCTTGAAGAATTGCAGGTGGAGGTGTTCCAACATATCTGTTGTCCTTGTCCTTCTAGAAGGTAGTGATCGTGGGTTTGGAAGGTGCTATCTATGAAGCCTTGGCAAATTTCTATAGTGCATCTTGTAAACGATACACAATGCTGCACCTAAGTGTCAGTGGTGGAGGTACTGCCAATCAAGCAGGCTGCTTTATCCTGGATGGTGTCAAGCTCCTTGGGTGTTGTTGGGGCTGCACCCATCCAGGCAAGTGGGGAGTATTCCATCACACTCCTGACTTGTGCCTTGTAGATGGTGGACAGGCTTTGGAGAGTCACAAGGTGAGTTATTCACAGCAGTCTCTGGCCCGCTCTTGTAGCCACTGTCTAGCTAGTTCAGTTCAATTTCAGTGAGTCGCTTAATTGTCCACCACCATTCTTAACTGGGGTGCAGCAGGGAAGTAGAACTTAGATCTGATCTGTGGAATTGCTTAGCTTTATCTATCCTTTGCTGCTTACACCATTTGGCACTCAAAAGTAGTCTATGCTGTGTACAAATTGGCTGCCATCTTTCCCTGAATTACAAAGGCACTCAATTGGCCTTGAAGCTTTCTGAGGTTGTGAAAAGTGCTTCATGAAATGCATGTTCTTTCTTTTCTTTCTCTCTACAAGAGATTATCGATTTTGTTGAATTGGTAGAGACCTACCCACATATGACAACTTATTCTTCAACATTTGTAGCACCATCCCAAAAGACAACAATTTGCGATAAAAATTGCGCAGTTTATTGATAAATAATCCTCATCGTGGGTATGGCAGCACTTTTCTAATCCACACTGAAAAAGATATTGTAATTCTTTATCCATAACTCAAGTCACACAGGGAAACATTGCACCTTATATTCTAATAAAGACAATCAAGACTTTGAAAAGGCAAGGCACACCTACACCTCTGACTGAAAATGCTGTGAATGTACTCAGGCAAAACTGCAACTGAATGTGCAGTGCAATGCCAGCTCCGTTTGTCAAATTCTTTTGCCTAAATCCTCTCAATTCTAATACCTGCAATCCAAATAATGGTACTTTCTGATCTAATAAATAAAACGAGCCTGACAATCAGCCTCTCAATCTCTCACAAAGCCAGATAATGAACCACAACCAGGCAAGGTTACAGATTTAGATGATTCACCAATTAAATTCATTCTGCAGAGATAAGATTCAGCTTGACCTTGAATTCTAATCACAGCTTTGAAAGGAATTGACTTACTGAGAGCGAGTTATCTTCTTTGATCGCATATAATCCAAATACCAGTCAGGAAACTGAACTGCTCAGCTGCCAAGAAATGTTACGGAATAGAAATTGTCGCTTTTCTAACACAAGTTCAATACTTTTGGCCATAGAAGCTAATGTTACAAAGATGACACACATTCTGTTCTGGGCTGGGTGGTTTAATATTTTTAATTCCAGGATAACTTTGAATTATGTTTATGAATATTAATCAGAAACATCAGGGAAAATACTCGTTCTTCAGTAAACCTGCACTTATTCATGCACTACACCCTCCCACCAGAAAAGTGTACATAATTATGAGCTAGTTATATCTGACAATTATCAGGACATGGTCCTTTCACTGCAGTCAGTGACAGCCTTGGTTCAGCTGATTTGAATTAGGTTTATTTTCACTGTACTCATGTGAGTACATGTGACAAGTTTACAAGTCACCATTTACAGCACTATCTTAGGCACAAAGATACCAAGGCATAGAATCTTACATACAAAGCAGAAAAATAAGGAAAGCAAAGTTAGACATTACAGTCCTTCATACTGAAAAGTGGAAAAACAAAGAAATACAGCTGAAAGTTCAACACTATAGTGTGTAAGTGCCCGGCTGTGCTGTGCTCGCACTCCTCACAAAGGTGTGACCTCCCTCACTTCGGGCTCAACCTTACCCTGGCAGTCACTGCCCCGCGCTGCCTGTTCCTGCTCTCACAGCCTTGGGGCTGCCTGTTCCCGCTCTCACAGCCTTGGGGCTGCCTGTTCCCGCTCTCACTGCTGCGTGCTGCCTGTTCCCGCTCTCACCACCCCGGGGCTGCCTGTTCCCGCTCTCACCGCCCTGGGGCTGCCTGTTCCCGCTCTCACCGCCCCGGGGCTGCCTGTTCCCATTCTCTCCGCTTTGGGACTGCCTGTTCCCGCTCTCACTCCCTCGGGGCTGCCTGTTCCCGCTCT